TGGTTTCTTGCTGTTAAGAAGAATGACAACATGAGCAAGAGCTGGGAAGGATGAATTTTAGATCAAATAAGATGAAACTATAGGCGATCTTCCTTTTTTTCAAAAAAAAATAACAATTAATTAGAGTGAGATATGAAGGTAGGATATTGAGATGTCTAAAAATAAAAAGAAAGATTGAGATGTCCTTTGGTTTGGTAAGAAAAATGAGAGCTATGCCTATAACTGTATACAAAATTGATAGCTATTATTTTTTTTTTAAAATTCCATCATATTCTTTCTTGCCCTCTCATATTATTATTATTATTATTAATAATCTTATTATTTATTTATTTATTTTTGTAATCATTATGTTTTATTTTAGTATATATTATTATTACATACTAAACTTATTGTTGATAACATCAATACGATTTATTAATTTATACATTGATATATATTGTAAAACAATTTTTTGTTTGGCTATTCAATTTTCTGTTAACACTTAAATTATTGAAAACGAAATATAAGAGTTTAAATGTGTATTATTAAATTAGTTAAAAGTCGTATCATTTATTCCTAAGTACATTCTTAAAATCCACTAACTTTGGCATACAATTTACATATAACACCCGTCTACTATGAGTCTATTACTACTTCCCCACTTAACCTTTCTTCTTCAAATCATAACCGTCGGCGCGCTTCCTCAGATCATCAACAAATTGATCAGTCGGCGGAACATCATTTTTCTCCTCCGGGTCGCTGGTCACCGCCTCCTTCACCATATTAGTAGTATCCTTCGTAATATCCCACATATTATCCAACGTTTTTTTAGCCATTTCTCCGATTTCCAATCCAGTTTCCAAAGCTTTCGCAACTCCTTGCTTCGCCGTCTCCGCCACGAAATTCTCATTCTCCCTCCTTTCTGAGGTTGAAGATGATGGAGTTGCAGTTGATTTCACTACGTTTACACGATCAAAATCTGCACCAGTTTCCGATCCCGATCCGGTTGGCCTGATATCATCAACCAAATTCGAATCCTGCATATCGATTAATGATTAACAATCAGATTTAATAGAATCCTGTTAATAAGTTGTGGTTTTTGCTTGTACCTTGTGATTAGGATGTGCGGGTAGAGTGGAAAAGAAGTTAGAGGGATAGACATGAACCCTAACTGCGGATTGCTGAAGATTTTTGTTAATGGCGAAGCCGATGAACCTGTAGTACGAAAACATTGCCGCTGTTGATATGGAGGTGGTGGTTGTTTGTATGTTTAGTTAAAATAGTGCTGAATGTTCAAAAGGGGGACACGAACACTTGTGCAGACGATGACACGTGGTTGTCACGTGGCAATGGCGTAAGTTAGATGTCAAATAGACCAAAATTATTTTTTCAAAACTAACATGTTTCCATTTTGTTGAGTGGGACATCAGACATGCATGCACAACTTCACGTTTTTAGCATTTTTAATCTCTAACTTAGTGTAATCACTTCTAATGACTTTGGATTATTAATTATCATAAAATACATGTTTTAAATCCTAATTAACATCCTAAAACACATCAATGACATGCTTGATTCAACAATTAAGAGGTAGTGTCTTCTTCTTCTTTTTTTTCCCATTTAAGCTTCAAAACACCATTTATGACTTCTACGGTTAACGGATTGTGTTCAATAATTTGAACATAGCATACAATAATCTGTATCTGGATCATATTAGGAACTTAGTTTCATAATCAAATTCGAAATTAACAAGGCAAATTCATGAATTCATTGAACTAAGGCTCAAAACATCGATCCAATGAAGCTCTGTGATTTCAAATTCAACCATAGATTTGAGATTGCAACACTTGATTAATAATCTAACACATAATCTAACTCTAAACTTGATTTAATCATTATATTAACTTATAGAATTCAAATAAGAATATAACTCCATACCTCTTAATGAACAAGAAAATGGAGAGTTTGTACCTCTAGTAGCTTGATTAAGTGTCGATGTTGCTTAATCTTCTAAGAACAATGGGATGCAACTTCTAGTATTGCAAGGGATCTTGAAATCGCCCAGCCCTAGCTCTCTAAAATTGAAATCGTCTAAGAGAGGAGGGAGTCATTCCCTCCCAACTCACTGTCATATCAGCTATTCTCTTTCATTTTTCTTCATCTTTCCTAACTTAACCCATAACATACGGAAATCATATCTTTCTAAACCCACTCAACCCACTTAATTAAAAAAAAATACTAAACAACTAAAGTACAAGTCTTAAAACACATGATACAAGAAAAAATGAGAGAGAAAAAGTAAAGAGAGAGGATGAAGTGGGTTAGTGAAACCAATTAAACAATCCATTGAAGAGGGAGTGGTACCGATGGTAACTCTATTGCTAATTAGATTTTATTTTGATTGTTTTGTATTTTTTTTAATTGAGTGGGTTGAAAAAAGATGAAGAACAATAAAAGAGAAAAAATAATGTGGTAGTGAGTTCAGTGGGTTGAGAGAGAACGATTCCTTCCTCCCTAAATGACAGAGAAAAATAAGAGAGTAGGAGACTTATGTTCATAAGTTTCAACATTTGACCCTTGTGGTACCTCATTTCTTAGTTCCTATCATTTGGCTTCCTTGTATCCCTAAATCTTATCATATATTTAATATTGCTATTTCAATCCCCCAAACATAAAATATCTTGACCTTTTAGCCCAAACCTAGTTAGGGGAAATTCAAACCCAGGTTTTTCTAAGTTGATAATTGTAAGCCTTCTAGCATAAATCTTAAATTTGATTCCAAAAATCATGTATTAAATCTTAAACTTTTAAATATACTACTCTTAGTTATTTTAATTAAGTTTATCTTAATTAATTTTAATCAATTCTTATTTTATTTATTTTTCTAAAATTTTAATTTAACTAAACATGTCCAAAGATTCTAGCCTGAAAACTCGGGTGTTACATATGATCCTTAAAAATGGAATGTTCATTCAGTCCTAAAAAACAACTATTGTCTGAGAAATAACTCGTTCATAGGGGACTTAGTCATGTAGAAGGATTTGAGCTTCGACTAGAACTTGGTTGGACTTTCTGCATTAGGTACCTTGTATAATACTCTGTCCAAAAGTGACAATAATATAAGCAAATGATAATTTTTCATGTTGTTTGAACCCTACATCATCTACCCTTTCAGGTCTTTCATTAACAAGCGAAAACCAAGTTCCTTGTTTGAGCAACGGGGTCTATCACTCTTTCACATGCATTACCTTCACCTAGGACATCGTAAACAACAAGAAATGTTTGTGGTTGGTTAAAAGGTCATGTATCTATTTTAAGCCTATAAAAGGAATTGCTTATCATAACTTTAAAGAGGGGATTTCACTTGATATGTAACTTGATTTGAGGTGCATACGTGCCGCCATTGCCCAAAAGCCCGGTCTTTTGTCAAAACATCACACTTAAAGCCTGATTAAGAGAAATTAAATATCCTTCTATTTTTTATTCCTAAAAATCCTCCTATACAATTAAATAGTGATATATGTAACATTCAGTTCTCATGTAATGATATTTTAGTATATTAATGTGACACATGTTATTATTTAAACGAGTAGGATGATCGATAGGAACAAAAAGTAGAATGATATTTAATTTCTCGTCCGATTAAAGTCATCGTCAGACAACTACTTTTCAAAGCACCTCATTGAGAATTTATTAGAATATTATTTCTCTCCTATTTATACAGTCAACTCAATTAATCTATAAACCAAGTAACTACATGAATTAGTTCCTAGAATATGGTTTGAGGTCAAAAATAAACCCACAAACTGTATATGTCAAATTAAATGTTACATTTTTAATCAAACTATACGTAGATGGAAGCTATTATATCCAAGGTTCTAAAAAGTTAGTCATGACTAGATTTGTATTTGCCGTCAAGCTTTAACAAAATGTTGTTTTATGTCATCTATATATATATATATATATATATATATATATATATATATATATATATATATATATATATATATATATATATAATTGTCGCTTTAAATAACATCTTACAAACGATATGACCCATTATAATTCGAAAAAGCTTGAGCTTTAACATCACTGACGGTGATGTTAGTTATTTATAAGTTTGATTATACCTACCTACATTTATCAACTTTTACATGAGTGTGATGAATATTAACATTTATTTAGTCTTTATAAGAAATAAGAAATTGATGGCATTTTAAATGCAAAATTGCCGCTCGACGCTCCAGGTACATTTCCCTTCTCAAAGGCGGAGGGTTTGATCCCTCCCTGTTCCCTTGGTATCTTTTGGCCTATTTTGTCCAACCTTTCAAGCTTTTCATATTTTACAGTTCTGACCCAACTTTCAGATTTGTTTTCAAATTTGGTCTAAAATTCTTATATTTCTGATGTAACAAACAATTTTTTACAAATATGGTCCAATTTTTTAATTAATTTTTTGATAAATTATATGAATGTTCCTTATGGTATTAGGCAGGTAGTGGGTACATATGTTCTTATAAGTTTTTTTTTTTTTAACTCAGATTGTCCTAAACATTTGTTTTTGTTTCAGGTTCGTCCCTAGTACAAGAAATAGAAACGAAATAACATTTATACTTTTTTTCTACTGTTTATTATCATCTTATTATAAAAAAGATAATAATCACTTTTAGTCTTTTACTTTCTTTTTTTTTTTTTTTTTTTTTTTGTCACACACTGCTTTTGTTTAACAATGTACATATCTTTTGCTTAGATGTTACGTTATCATCTCTGAATTTACACGTCATGCTAATTTAACAACGCAATCACAATCACATCACAGGATGCAAAACCTAGTTTAACTACGAAAACACAGTTGGGACACTAACATTTTACATTTACTTTAAAACATGCTCTTTACACAAGAGAATAACAACAACAAAATAAAACTATAATAAACTTAACAACTTATATCAAGGACTTCTATAGTTATTACTTTTTACAGTTTGAAACCTTCACCTACCACTTAAAAACATGAGCCATAGTTATGCCCTCGTTTCTACAACCCCATCAAGCCATGAAACAACCTGCTCAATACCGGGTCTCCTTCTTGGATCTTGATCCAGACACTTACAAGCCACCCCCAACACTTCCAACAACTGATTCTCACAGCTCTTATCCCATACAGACGCATCAAATATCTCCCCATATCTCCCTTCAAGTTTCATCTGAAACACCCACGAAACAAGATCCCTACAATTCTTCCCCTTTCCAACTTCAACTGGTCTTCTCGCTGTAATAAGTTCCAAAAGCACAACCCCAAAACTATAAACATCGCCCTTAAAAGTCGCGGAAAGCGTCTGACCATATTCAGGTGGAATGTACCCTAATGTCCCTACCAAATCGGTTGTCACATGAGTATCATAAGGGCATAATAGTCTTGACAATCCAAAATCAGCTAAATGGGCTTTAAACTTTTCATCCAAGAGAATATTGCTAGTTTTAATATCCCGATGGATAATTTTTACATCGTTATGGAGATATGATAATCCCTTTGCTGCCCCTTTTGCTATCTTTAACCTAACACGCCATTTTAATGGTGATTCCTGTTCTACCCTTTCGTGTAGCCAATAATCGAGGCTTCCGTTTTCCATGTAGGAGTATATCAAGAGTCGATCGTTTCCGTGTTTGCAATACCCTTTTAGGGATACGAGATTCTTGTGTTGGGCTCTTGAGAGGGCTTCGACTTCGGAATGGAATTCGCGTTCCATTTGACCGCAATCGCCGGAAAGGCGTTTGATTGCGGCTTTTGAACCGTTTGGAAGGTCGGCTTTGTACACGAGCCCGAATCCACCGCATCCGATTATATTCGATTGACTGAAGTTATTCGTTGATTCCACTACATCGGAAACCGAGAGCTCTCTACAGTTAAAACTCGGGAATAGAACTAGTTTCGAAGATGCAAACACACCCGAGATTCCATTTCCATTCCTTCTACTATTATTCTCCTCCAACTCCGGAATCCAATCGCCGTGTCTCTTTCTTGACATTTTGAGAAGAATGAATGCTAACACGATTGCGATTCCGGCTCCGATTCCGAGTGTGATTCCGACGATACCATTCCGTCCAAGTTTTCTACCGGAATCGGAATTGACGGATGGAATTCCGTTTACGCTACAAGGAGACAGGACTTGCCCGCAGAGACCGGGATTCCCTTCGAAACTTGAATTTGGGAAACCGGAAAACTGGGTTCCGGTCGGAATCGCACCTTGTAAGTGATTATAAGCTACACAGAACATTGAAAGAAATGAAAGCTTGTTTAAAGAGGCTGGAATCGTTCCATGAAGATTGTTTGATGACAAATCAAGAACTTCCAAGTTTCCCATTTCGGAAATCGTGTCGGGAATTGTCCCGGATAAGTTGTTCTTGCTCAAATCCAATACATGAAGCTGTATTAATCTTCCAACTTGGGGTAAAATCGTCCCGTTTATGTTATTGTTGCTGAGATAGATTGATGGAGGAAAGCTTGCAACTTGATTGTATTGAAGACCTTTTCCAGTTTGATTCTTCTTCACATATAATGGAATCCCGGTTGATGAGGTGAGAATTGAAGAACTTATGTTTGAAGACACGAGACTCTTTAAATCTGTTAAACTTTTCGGAAGTTCACCCGTTAAGGAATTGTTTGAAAAATCCAAGTAAAAGAGTCTTTCCATTTGACCAATCCAAGAAGGGATGACTCCAGTCAACTGATTCCATGACAAATCAAGAACTTCAAGTTTTGGACAGTTTACTAACCATGGTGGGATTTGGCCTTTGAGGGCACAATTCGCGATTGCAAGAACCATTAATCTGTCAAACCCGTTTACAAATCGTGGGAGTTCTTCACCTTGAAAGTTTTTTGTCAGAATCAAAGTGGTGAGATTCTTGCATTGTTGTAGAACAGATAAAGCACGAGGTAAATTGGTGATTCCGTTGTTTGAAAAGGAGAGGAATGAGAGGTTTGAAAGGTTCATGTATGGAATTGGAATTTCACCGTATAATGCGTTCTTGGCCAGATTCAGGATTCTCAATTCATGACAATTGGAAAGTGAGATTGGTAAGAGACCATGAAAACGATTACTACCAAGATCAAGAGTGCAAAGGTTGGATAATTTTGAGAAATTTAAACTTAGGTCGCCGGAAAATGAATTGTTACGGAGATCGAGAATCTGTAAATTGGAACATGATTCTATGGTAGAAGGTAATGGCCCTATGAAGGAATTCGAATGTGCGTTCAGCTGTTCTAAACGTGTCATGTTTTTGAAGACATTGGGAAATGGACCTGAAAACCGGTTCCCGGATAAAAGTAGTGATTCGAGGTTGGAAAGCTTACTGAGATTTGTGGTTATCTGACCGGAGAAGTTGTTGGAAGAAAGATGTAGCAGCTTTAAGGATGGCATTGAGTATATAAACTCCGGGAGGTCGCCGGAAAACGAATTGGAATCCACAAGCAGTTCTCGAAGAGATTTGTGGCAGTTGCTCAAGCCTTCTAGGTTTCCGGTGAAATGATTCATTGATAGATCGAGAATCTGAAGGTTCGTAGAGGAAGTACAAATTTGTGGAGAAATTTCACCGGCGAAAGAGTTGTTGCTGAGATTTAATGCTATGAGATGTGGGAATTTACCAATGTCGAACAGGTCCCCGGTTAACGAATTGCTTGAGACGTTTAGAACTTCGAGATCCATCAAATTGGAGAGATTTTTGGGGAATTCGCCTTGTAATTGATTAAACGATAGATCGAGAGATCTTAATTTTTCCAAACGAGGTAGAGAATTGGGAATTTCGCCCTTTAGACCTTTTGCAGACAAGCTCAGCATGGTGACCCTGTTTAGGGTTTTTGAAAGATTTTTGGTGTCATCCTCACAAACGACGCCGTCCCAATGGCAGCAAATGGAATCATTCGACCAAGATGAAAGTATGGAAGCGTTACTGAAACTTCCGGCGAAGTCCTTCAGAGCTAACAAATCAACCGGATGGCATGTTTGGGTTAGGGTTTCAATACCCAAAGATGAACAAAGGAGAAAGACTAACAATGCCCAACCGATAGAATTCATTGGCGGAAAAAACAAAGTCAGGTCTCCTACACAACCGCCATGAAATTGATCAAATATGGAAGAAGATCAAGCTGTAAAAACCTACAGGTTCGCAACGAGAATGGTGAAATGCACAAGGAGAGAGAGAGAGGGAGAGAGAAGCAGAACCCAAATCCCAAAACCTCAAAGTGATAATAAAGGAAAATAGGAGAAGAAGATTAAAGGAAAAGCTTGTAAATGAAGCAAACGAGAGAACACTCAATGACTCACATGAGAGTCTTTAATGATTTAAAATCTCCAAGTAAACGAAAGGAAACTCTTTAATTGATTCTCGAACCAGACCCACAACAAAGTGAAAGAAAAGAAACCCTACAAGAAGAGAGTGAGATTTCAGTACCCGTCAAAGTCGATCACTTGCAAACGAAGCAACAAAAGCAGACAGCAATTATGTCATGTCCTTTTAGCAAACAGGTGGTGGGCATTTCAAACTTGCTAACAGATCAAGGGTCTCCTTTTTCTTGTTTTGGATACAAAATGACAGAAAGCGTAAAGCTTTAAAAAGGGGAGAAGAAGAAGAAGAAGAAGACGAATTGGGGAAAAGAGTAATGAGAAGAAGCAAAGTAAAAGAATGCAGATAAAATTAAAATAGAATCAAAGATGGACTCAATTGCATACAGTAGTGAGTAGTGGTTAGATCGCAATATTTGTATTGACTTTGTTTGGATTTTGGGCAAGATTTTCTCTTGTTATCTACCTGTTTTCAACCCTATCATCGGACTAATTCCCGCATTTGTCTCCTGTACTTAAAGAAGATAACAATTAGAGCCGCAAAAATCTCCGATACACAATAATATATACTATACAAACACATACATAGATATATATAAAAAAATAGTTTTTCTTTTTAATTTTTAAAAAATTATTTTTAACAAAAAATAATTCTAAATTTTTTATTTTATATAATGATCCATATTAATATTGTATCATTCACATATAAATATAAAATTTAATAAAGTTTTTACAATTTATATCGGTTTTTGTAAAATGTTATATATTTATATATGAATAAAATGTTTATTAGCGTAACTCAAAAGTTATATTTATATATGAATAACATATATTAAATTCATATATCAATAAAATGTTATATTCATATATAAATAAATAGTTTGAATTTTCAAAATATTTCGTCTTTTATTAACATAATAATTATTCATATATAAAAAACAAATAAACTGTAACAAAAATTTTATACATGTTTTATTTATATATAAATATAATATATCATTAGAATTAATACATGTTTATTCATATATAAATATTCTTGTATGATGAAAATTGATGTGTGTGTGTGTGTGTATATATATATATATATATATATATATATATATATATATATATATATATATATATATATATTACGAAATAAAACTTTATTTCGTGTTATATTCATATATGAATAATACTTAATTGTTGTCTGCTTTTGTCCAAGATTTCTCCAAGATAGCCGTACCCCTGACACGACTGACGAAGAAAGCCGTGGTCTTTCGGTGGGGACCCGAGCAGCAGGCTGCGTTTGAGATGCTGAGACAGAAATTGTGTGAGGCACCGATCCTAGCCCTGCCTGAGGGCGTAGAGGATTTTGTGGTTTACTGCGATGCGTCCATTTCAGGGTTGGGCGCAGTTCTGATGCAGAGGGGGCATGTCATTGCCTACGCTTCGCGGCAGCTCAAGCCTCACGAGGCAAATTACCCGACGCACGATTTGGAGTTGGGGGCGATGGTCTTTGCCCTCAAGATTTGGCGGCATTACCTCTACGGGGTTCGGTGTACCATCTACACGGACCACAAGAGTTTGAGGTACCTCATGGACCAGCCGAATCTGAATATGAGGCAGCGGCGGTGGTTGGACGTGGTGAAGGATTATGATTGCGAGATCCTTTACCACCCGGGGAAGGCCAATGTGGTGGCCGATGCGCTTAGCCGCAAGACTGTGCCGATCAGGGACGTCTGTTTGAGGATGACTGTGGTGACTCCCCTGTTGGAGCAGATTCAGGAGGCTCAACAGGAGGCTATCAAGGAGGAGCATCGGAAGAGCGAGCGTGTGGTGGGTCAGGTTTCCTCCTTTGATTATGATGGCAGAGGACTTTTGACATTACACCGTAGGGTGTGGGTGCCGTATCACGGTGGCGTGCGTCAGATTCTGATGGAGGAGGCGCACAAGTCCCGATTTTCTATTCATCCCGGGGCGACGAAGATGTATAGGGATCTTCGTCCGGATTATTGTGGCCTTGCATGAAGCGGGATGTGGCAGGTACGTCGAGCGGTGTTTGACCTGCAGGAAGGTCAAGGCCGAACATCAGAGACCGCATGGCAAGATGCAGCCGTTGGACATTCCACTGTGGAAATGGGAAGATATCACGATGGATTTTATCACAAAGCTTCCCAGGACCGCACGTGGAGTGGATTCGATTTGGGTCATCGTGGATAGATTGACCAAGAGTGCTCACTTTATTCCAATTCAGGAGAGCATATCGGCCGAAAAATTGGCCGACATCTATATCAGGGAGATTGTGGCACGGCATGGGTGCCAGTATCGGTGATCTCGGACAGAGATGTGCGTTTTACTTCCAGATTTTGGAAGAAATTCCATGACGAGTTGGGCACTCGTCTGCATTTTAGCACCGCCTTTCACCCGCAGACAGATGGTCAGAGTGAGCGGACCATCCAGACTTTGGAGGACATGTTGCGGGCGTGTGTGTTGGATTTCGGTGGTAGCTGGGATACCTATCTTCCCTTGGCTGAGTTCTCCTACAACAACAGCTATCACGCGAGCATTGACCGACCACCGTTCGAGATGTTGTATGGGCGGAAGTGCAGAACCCCGATATGTTGGGGGAGGTTGGCCAGAGAGTCATGGGAAGCACCGAGGTGGTGCTAGAGACGACCGAGAGGATCCAGCAGGTTCGGAGCAGACTTCAGACTGCACAGAGTCGGCAGAAAAGCTACGCCGATAGACGTCGATCCGACTTGGAGTTCCAAGTCGGGGATATGGTCCTCCTGAAAGTGTCGCCTTGGAAAGGTGTCATTCGATTCAGGAAGCGGGGCAAGTTGGGCCCAAGGTTCATCGGGCCGTTCAGGGTTGCAGCCCGGGTGGGCAAGGTGGCGTATAGGCTGGATCTGCCAGCCGAGCTCAGTCAGATCCACAGCACCTTCCATGTTTCGCAGCTGCGGAAGTGCCTGGTGGACGATTCAGCAGTAGTACCGTTGGAGGATATTCAGGTTGATGACAGCTTGAATTACATTGAGCGCCCAGTCGCAATACTTGACAGAAAGACCAAGACGTTGAGAAACAAGAGGGTAGAACTAGTAAAGGTGCAATGGCAGCACCGCAAGGGTTCGGAATGGACTTGGGAACCGATGGACGAGATGATGGAGCATTACCCCGAGCTGTTTCAGGACCGGGCAGCAGACTTCGAGGACGAAGTCTAAAATAAGTGGGGGAGATTTGTAGCACCTGGTTTCCGGTATGTGAATTTTATTTGAGCATTGCCCTATTTTAGCCTTGGACTCGGCGAGTCATAAGGTCCGACTCGCCGAGTAGGGACGAGACTCAGGACACGTTTAAGTGGGCGACTCGGCGAGTCCATATCCTGGACTCGGCGAGTCACCGCTGCTGGATGAAACCCTAAGTTTCAAGGGTTTGCACCCTATTTAAACCCTCATTCCGCCCCAACTCGTCCCCATTCACCCCCAGAACTCCCCCAACATCGTTTTCCCTTATTTCCTTGAGAGATTGAAGTGTTCTTGGTGTGTTCTTGAAGGTTTTGAGGAGAAAGAGGAGTAGATCAAGAAGAGGAGAAGGAGATCAGCCATCTTTGTGTCATTTCAACATTTTCCTTGAGGTATATCTCGTTTTTCCCCTGTTTCTATGCTTAGATTTCATTTGGACACTCTTGAGCAATTCTTCAAGCTTGTTTGTGCTTAATGTTTCGTAATAAGTGGATTAACCTTTAGATCTAGGCAAGATTGAGCTCCAGGAGCTCAGATCTGTTAGCTTTATGGCCCCATGTGGCTTGTTCATCCTAGATCTACCCTTTTGAGGCATTTTGCACCCTAAAATCCACATTAGTGAATATCCACACGTAAAGTTGGAAACTTTACGTGTGATTTGTGTCCTAGAAGTCCAGATCTATGAATGGCATGGACTGAAATCGAGTAAATCGGTGTATTTGGTGGATGCATGGCGGCGACTCGGCGAGTCTGGTCGCGAGTCACCGATTTGGTCCCTTCATGATGTATCGAGTTGAGCCGTGAGTCACAGGGGGTGACTCGGTGAGTTGGGAGCTGAACTCACCCATGTTAGGACTCGGCGAGTCAATGCCCTGACTCGGCGAGTCCAAGGCAATCTTCATAGATCAAGAACAGACTCGGCGAGTTGTTCATACAACTCGGCGAGTCTTAGCATAAAGTGTTCTTCGGATGAAGATGAACTCGACGAGTTGTTCATACAACTCGGCGAGTAGGATGAAGGAGTTGAATGACAGTTAGAAGATGAACTCGTCGAGTCATAGCCCAACTCGACGAGTAGAACCAGGGACCCAGGACAATAGTTTGCTAGGGACTCGGCGAGTGGAGATCCACTCGGCGAGTCGGGTCAACTGAAAGTTGACTCTAGCATTGGCTTAGAGCTAGACCGGGGTAAAATGGTCATTTTACCTAAAGGACAGTTAGCAGTGTTTGATTGAGTATGTTGTGGGAATTGCAGCCGGAGGACTCCCGGAGCAGCAGCAGTCAGTTAGTTCCCGATCAGTTCAGCAGCTACTTTGAGGTGAGTTACCTTCCAGTAGCGGTGGGTCTAAGGCCACAATGCCGGCCCACCAGTAGGAGACGTATGATAGATGATTGTCTTTGTGAATCATCTAGGTTTGCTATTACCTGTTATGTTATGCTATCATGATACGTTATATGCAATAGTAGTAGAGTTCGGTTGTTAGGACCGCTGGGTAGTCAGACACCCCA